GGAGAGACAGCTAACGGACAAACTCAAGGAACTGAAAGACACTCCCCGATAGGCCGTATGCTGTTTAGCCTGGCCTTGAATGATTCACTGCAGTGTTCTGTGCAGGTTTTCTGTTTGTCTTTTTCAACTCAAGGAGCTCAAAGACTGATTGAAAGTTGATTTGATTTGCATAATTTCTGATTGCTGATTCAATGTGAAGGAAAATTCACATTTGAGTTGATACAGTCTGTGTGCATATAATGCCCCCTTTGGCCTAACCTGGGAGAGCCTGATGTTCACTGCCAACCTAAGGACCTCCAACATGTTAGTAAAGAATGTATTGAAAAGTTACATGGCGGATTGTTGTATATTGGCTCAGCCAGGTTACATGGGAGGCCCAGTCTACTTACAGATGGCTCACTCATTTTGAAATATTACTCTTTGTTTTCTTTTTCTTTAATTGATCATCCTCATGTAGAATGTTATCACGAAACACACATTTGGTTGTTTACAGCATAAAGAACATCTGATTTAATGTGAGGTAGGGAAATAATAATTTGAGGATAAGTATGTGTATATAAATATGTAATTTACAACAGCTGTAAGATGCTTGAAAAGTGCTTGAATTTGACTTTGGAAAATGTGTAAGAACCATGGTAAGAACTCTGTATATGATGTATTGAAATGTATTATAAATGTTCCCTATTTCATGTAATCTGTCATTAATGGTAGTTGTAACCGGAAGTACGTCAAAGACAATGATCAAGATGAAGATGAACATCAAATATGAGGAAATAACATCGAGTGGGCAGATGAAATAAAGATAAAATACTCAAATTCTGTTGTGAACCAGAACCCAGTTTCTCTTTTACGTGTCCAGATTTTGAAAAACAACCGATCATTACAAAAAAAAATGTTTTGGTGAGTTTTAGAGCAAGGTTTTCACAGCAGGGCCTTTGTATCGCTTGTTGCCTTGGAGACAAGAAATTGTTGTCATGTCCAAAAGTGGCCACAAGGTGTCAGTGTTGCACAACAACAAATATTAAAACAACCAAAGCACCAGTAAAATTGTACAGGCTCATATAAGCTTATAATATATCCATTTATGTAATGCCAGTTTTAAGATATATATTTGAATAGTAGATCTTTATTAAAAGCCAACAATATAAAATGCTTTATATTTTATTGCAAAAGAAAGATATTCACATTTTCAAATCTGCAGGTAACAAAGAAAAACAGAAATTATAATTGTATTAATTAATTAATAAGATTAAAAAAACATGAGATTAAGTGTTACTTTAAATATACACATATTCAGTTTTCTGTCAGATATTGATATGTATAGCCTATGACGTAATAAGTTATCTTTGCACTTTAATGTTGTATTGGTGTCATAGGAAAAGTCTTAAAGTATTCAAATTGACCTGTGTGACTGGAAGAGCGTTACGCTCCTGGTTGTGTCATTGAGGTCAACCATGAGATTACCTTAATCCCATTGAATGGACTACATTACTTTCTCAAACCTCTGTCTGAACTCACTGGTGACTGACAGCGGGAGGACGTGGCCTTGCAAAGGGCAGAAGGATTCAGTGTTAGAGGGTTACTTTAAAAAGGTTTTCAGTTGCATTTACTAGTAACCTGTAAGAAAATGTAATCAGTATCCTAATCGGAGTATCAAAATATAAAAGTAATCGATCCTGATTACTTTATGTTGCTTTTGGAGTACCTCAATATCAAATGCAATGCAAATAATACAAGAGACAATACAATTTAATAGGATGTTTTTTTTTGCTTAAGTGTATTATTCAAGACACCAGAACAATGTGACCTAAGAAAAGAAGAAACCAATATATTTAGGATCATTTATTTATAGGAAAACCTGCCTTTCATGAAGCATATTGAGGCAGCAGCCTATACACCAATGAAACACATTAGCACATACTACAGTTTAAAAAAGCAGAAATAAAATCTGAGTTGACAGAAAATGCTCCGCTTTAGTTTAACACACAGTTAAGCTCACACACTTCCTGAATATGCTTCATAAAAGGCAGGTTTTCTAATGAATAAGAAATCATTTTTAAGTAACGCTTCCAATGAAAGACCATTGATGGTGTCCTGTTGTTGTTTTCCTCATATGACTTCAGGTTGAGGAAAGCTGCATGCCCGTCACTCGAAGATGACACATCTCTCCTCCTCACAGCCTCATGGGTTTGTTTTAACACACATCTACTTTCATAAAGCCCATTTGCAGGCGGTGGTGAATGGAGAGCTTTTTCAGGAGAGGGAGACAGCAGAAAATGAAAAGTGTGGGTAACAAATGTTGAACCATTAGTAGAAGCCTCTGAAACCAACCTGAGAATTAAAGTCTTGAACTGAATGTGTGTATTGTTTACATTAAAGCATTTTCTGATACGATTTTTTGGTGCAAATTCTTTTTTTTGCAAAAATGTCTTGGTGCAAGCTGTTTTCGAATTTTAAAAAAAAATGAAATTAGGCTTGGAAATTGGGGACATCAGCCATTTCAAAAAGTTGTGAGGACATATGCGTCCAGTGTTAATGACACCTATATGATCAGCACTGAGCTACAGAGGAGGGAAGTAACAAAGTACATCTACTCAAGTACTGTACCTAAGTACTCTTTTGTCATACTTTACTTGAGTATTTCCCTTTAATGTTACTTTATACTTCTACTCCCTTACATTTTGGAACATGTATTGTATTTTTTACTACAATCTACAATTATTACCACCAGCTACTGTTTACATCAAAAACACATGACATGTGTATGCAGTACGTTTTACGTATACTAAAACTATATATATATATAGAGAGAGAGAGAGAGAGAGAGAGAGAGAATTTTAATACTCTTGTAGTGAAGTGTTTTCGGTCCAAAGTTATTTTACTTTTAGTTAAGTAAAGGATCTGAGCTCTTCTATCAATGGTGAGCTAAAGTGAGAACTGACACATACCAGAACCTCTGTTATAATCTCCTTTTTGTGGGGGTGATACAGTGTGTACCCCGGTGCGCACTCCGCAGCAGGCTCTCTGTGGACCGTCAGTCACGGGGTGGGTGAGGGAGGGAGGGGGGAGTCTGCAGGACTATAGGCTCACCACGCCTCGGTACGGTAAGTTAGTCAGCCATATTGACTGTACCTCTCCTCCGGTAGTGGGAGCCTGGCGGAGGAGTCTCCAGTATCACTGTCGGTACGCACCGTGCCCGGTAAACAGCGCAGAGGACGGGAAGGTCTATTTTTACCCTCGCTGTGGATATATAAAGTACAGCTGCCAGCTGGGGGGGTGACAGCCGGATACATCCTCAGCGCAGCCGGGCGATAGGTGAGTTTTCCTTCCTTTAAGCCGTTCAAACCGGGGGATTTATTCTCCTCTCCGTACTGCTGGAGAGCGGTTAGAAACGTTTTTACGCAGACTGTCAAAACACCGTATCGGGTATAAGTTATAACACACTGTTCACACAGGTGAAAGACTGCGTGGTGCATTTCTTTTTTTGCTTCATCTTCGTTTCTTACCGGCTTCTTGCACGTTTTATGAGGGGAGGAAGGGTGAGTGAAGTGGTGTCACTTTGCGCTCAGGTGCTGTGTGTCACTTAAATGTTATGCAACAGAAAGAAGCTTATAGGGAGTTTAATTAGATGCTTGTCCCTTTTTTCCAGAATGTTCACTGCTCATATTGGAGTTTCTGCATACAGATTCTGTTTACATGTTTGCACAGTTTGGTGTCAGTGCTGGGGCTAATTATCCCACTGACACCCAGACTAGCACGGTGGTAAACAGCTTTGTGATGAAATTCAGTGGATGTTTTTCATGGTGCATTATTTGCTCTTTTGTGAAGCTCAGAGAGGGGAGACAATGTTTCTGGCGCCGTTTGCAACTTTAGAGCGAGTCCTGCTGCTGGAGCGCCTTTCTCCCCGCAGCGATGTCGCAAACAGCAGCGACAATATACAACATCATTAGCATGGTGTCACTTGAATGCTTTGCTGGGCATATTTATGGACTGTGAAATACTTGTGGTGCACTATAAATGCACTTTGGCACGCTCTACCATGATAACAAGCATGCATTTTCCAGGATTGATGCTTGTTTGTACATGGAAACGGTTCCTCACTAAGTTAGTGTGAGTTTTCCCTGCTCCTTGGAAACCACGCCGAATCACACCGCCTTTAACACGGACTAGTGTAGCTTTTGCGCGTAAACAGCGGTCCTGAATACAGGCAGCGCTCCATCTGGCACAAACAGATGCTCCTTCAGCTCCAGGGAAGTTAGCCGGCTCTGATAGGCCTCATTAAAGCAGAGGAAATGAGTTTATTGGCTATTAGCCCTGTCACTCAAACCCTCCTGTTGCTGTTGGCTCCGCCTCCTCTGGGGACCGAATTACAACTCATTTGAGAGAGAGGCTGCTGCATCATGACATCAGATACCTTTGACTGCTGGTTTTAGATTTCCCTCTGCAAGGCCATTTTTTTGTAACCTGTTGAATAATGTCATGCCCTCAGGTGAGAGTTGGACAATGTTATGTTATCGGGCACATTCACCTGAGTTACATAAATACATAGGGTTGTTTGCTTTCTGTTGTTTTTGGTTGTCATGCAACCTTAGTGCACGTTTAAAAACCTGAAACGTGTTGAGTTAAGATTTGGAAAACTTGGAGGAGCTTTTTGTGGGTTTCCCTTTCCTGTATGTGTTCTTATAGGATTGTGTGCATGCAAATGGTCTGCAAAGGCTAAAACTAGCCCTGACCTTGAACTCTTTTAATAAAGCAATATCTATACAGTATTGTTTTATAGAGCAGACAGTGAAGAGGTTAAGAATACTTATTGCACGTTTGCACAAGCCTTAATAGTAATTAATGTAACAAATCACCATTAGCCAAATATCTTTCTAACGATGAAGCCGACTAAATCTTGACGCTTTCGTCACACACCAGCTGCTGCTGTGAGACTGTCTGACACCGGTCTACAATGACACTGTTGGTTGTGATACTGAATAGTATATGGCTCATTGAGCTTTTTGGAGGTCATTTGTATATCCCTTTCTTTCTCTCAGATTTGTTTTAATGTTTTTTTGTATACATCTTCTTCATTCGCTGTTTTATTGTTTAGCAGATTTCTATTTTCTATTTGCACTTTTATGACAGCCGTTATCTGACATTTTATATGCCAAATCATTAATCTAGAAAAAATCCTTGAATCATCAATAATAATAGAAAAATATGTTGCAGCCCAAAGATACAAAGCAGGTGTTTGAGTTTCGGTTCAGGGAGCGAACACTTTAGTTTCACAACTCCCATCACGCTGCAGGTTCACAGACACGATCCAGTGTCTCTTTCCGTCCCTCACCTGTCTCTCTGTCTCTGCTGTTTGACTCCTCCCACTTTCTGTTTGGATATCTGCGTCCGTCATTCATGTGACGCTGCTCAGAAATGTTCAATTAAGCAGCAGGCAGAGTCACTAAAGAACATTGGAAAGAATGGGTTGGATATTTGGGATTCAGAACCTCATGTTTAGATATTTGATTCGTCTCCATATGCAGAGTATAATCTCAGTGTTCAATCTAACACCAGTCCTTCAGCAAAACACTGAATATCATCTGCATATTATTATCTACCAAATCCTTTTAAAGCGTCCGTAGTGAGTCCAAACAGACTGCAGCGATGATGCCATTCATGTCGGATGTCCTCTCATTTTAACAGCTCTTAAAACAGCGTTGTCTGTCACCGTCTGTTAAGCCAAGTGAATATTTAATATAGTAAATATTGATTAAATGAATATTAATGTTGACTTAACTGTCCCTTTCTTCTTATTGGACTATTCAAGCCAAGAGTGGAAAGAGTATTATTTATCACAGAGGTTTATTTACTCGTGTAGGTTTAGGTGAACTTAGATCAATGCGTTTGTTTTTATCTGTTTGAAGTGGACATATTGTGCTCAATTATTTATTTGTTTGCCTCGAATGAATTCAGTTTAACTTGCATTGAAGGGATTCTCTGCTTGGTCTTTACCTCCTTTCAGTGGCATCAGAACAGCGTTACATTTACATTAAAGCGGCTGCATTATTTCTGTATTCTGTGTTTATGTGAGTTCACACCCTGGACAGGCCATGTGTGCTGCTTGACCAACACTATCCTCCTTACACTAGAAGAATCAGTTGGTAGGGTTTCCTGTTGTTGTAACAGCTGTTGGAAGTTGTGTGTTTGTATGATAGAAGATCAAATAATAAGCTAAAATGAATTTGGTCTAACATTTAAATTAAAAGCAGCAACAAAAAGAAAAGTCTTCAACCTGTATTCAAAAGTTGTGAGTTGCAGCGGTCCTGCAATGTTCTGGTATTTTAAAGATACAATTGGTTTCCTTCTCATATCATTTGCAATATATCAGTCAGTCTTGATGAGGAGATTCAGAATAGTATTCACTACCTCTTCCCAACGCGCTGTTAAAGGGGAGAGGAATGCACAGGAGGAGGATGAAGAGGAGGAATCTGCAAAGGACACTTCGTAAAAGTGTGTGTGTAAAATGCAACAGTGTATTGACATTCACTCGAACAAACCTAGACAGGGAGACATGAAAGAGTGTAATGTGCACAGAGAGGAGTGTTTTTCTCTGCATGAATGGTGACCTGGAAGCAGTATCCGCCTGGGAGCGACCCTCTGGTTTCCCTGAATGGAATCACACACACACACACACACACACACACACACACACACACACACACACACACACACACACACACACACACACACACACACACACACACACACACACACACACCCTGAAGGCTGACAGCTCCAGGTTTACGAGGCAGTGGGCTGCTAAACAGAGCAGACCTGTGTTACTTAAGAAAGCTCCGGATGCTTTCAGCTACACACTAAAGGTCACCCTAAGGTGTGTGTGTGTGTGTGTGTGTGTGTGTGTGTGTGTGTGTGTGTGTGTGTGTGTGTGTGTGTGTGTGTGTGTGTGCGTGTGTGTGTGTGTGTGCGTGTGTGTGTGTGTGTGTGTGTGTGTGTGTGTGTGTGTGTGTGTGTGTGTGTGTGTGTGTGTGTGTGTGTGTGTGTGTGTGTGTGTGTGTGTGTGTGTGTGTGCTTCGTACTGAGCTATCATCTCTAACTGTCTACATTCAGCGGGACAGCTTTAAGTCAGTCAGTTATTTTAGTATTCAGCGTCCCTCACACTCTCACCGGCGATGCTGAATATTGAGAAGTTGTATTAAGTCGACTGCCTTTTAGATATTAAAGTTCTAGGTAAGGGACTGTCACTGATAAAGATTTGGTGTCTTCACTCATGTGGGGCTGATATTAAAACGGGTACAAAGACAGGATCGGTCTCTTCTGGGTGAGGCCACACTACCAGGAAACATTAGACTTTGGAGGTGTATTATTCCCTTCGTTACTTATACAAAATGAATTAAAAGCTACGTTTTAAGATGGGTGTGGTATCATGTATTATTTAGTGAAATATAGATATTTGATTTCCTACAAAGTTCACTCTCTCTTTCAACCCTTTCTGGTGTAAAAGTGGTAAAGAGGACCGTTGAAATCATTTCTGGGTTAGTTGAGAAGATGGCATTATGTCTCATTTTAGATAAACCAGAACACATTATAAAAACCCAGCAGGTATATAGGTTAGTTAAAGAACAGAAACAAACAAATAATAAAAGTGTGAAACAAGTGGAATGACCGTATATCTTTTAGGCAATGTCGTGTTTCATTTGGTACAACAAATCCTTCAAAAAAACATTAACATAATAACATCCAGTCACGCCTCAAAACCCACCTCTTCAACTCTGTATATCCATAAGCCCCCCCACCCTCTCAACCAACTTCCTCCTGACTGCTTTTCTGTTTTGTTTTGTTTCTTTTTTGTCTACCCTCCCTCCCAAATGTAAAGCATCTTTGGGTTCAAGAAAAGCGCTATAGAAATATAATTTATTATTATTATTATTATTCCAGGTTTCTTTTCTAGAAAAATAAACTAGAAAGCCTGTTTTTATAACAAAGTTCACTCTGTCTTTCAACCCTTTCTGGTGTGAAAGTGGTAAAGAGGACAGTTGAAATCACTTCTGGGTGAGTTGAGCTGCTTTGTGTCTTGACAATGAGGTCGGTGTGATTGCCAGCGCTCACTGGGAACAAAGACATATCCCGTGCCCCATACCTTCTGGATTTGGCTCCAAAAGATCTGTGATGGAGGGTCTGACTGCACTGAGCATTGATTCGCAGGGCGTGGTGTGTGTG